ACGTTTTAGCTTTTTCATATTCCTTTACATGTCACTACGTTTAAATAAGTTGACTTGGGACATTTTTTTCGTGGTTTTTGTATTAGACCCGTCGTCCATTTATTTGTAAGTCAATGACATCCATCAAATGTTTCGAATTCGGGTTGGCCAATCGGACCGCAGCTACCACCGTAATGATATGGCAGAATAGTTTTCAAATAAACATGACATTTTGTCTATATTTTTTTCTAGTTATATACTCGATGGTCCTCAATAACCAGATCCAAATTAATTTAGAATACGTTTTTTCAATCATTTTAATGATCATAGAAAACAGTTGCAGATAACAAGGAAATCAGAATCAATGTTTCTTCAAGGCGAAGGCTATAGATGCTAAGGGGTGCTAGAAAGGAACCTCCTCGCAACAACGTGTCCGTGCTCCCTGTACATACGTCTAGCGCAGCCTGGGAAACAATTGGCAGATCCTTTCGCCACGTAGGCAGTACAGTGGGATGTTCTCGACAGGGTAAAAATGCTATGTACTTATACCAAGCAAGAATAAAAATATTTTAATATTCTGAGCAAAGTTAATGTTACGGACACCGAGACACGCACAAGAACACTCAGCACACCGCGTTGAACGGAATCACCGCCCCCCGCATCCCGCACACCGCGCTGACCGGCCTCCTCTCTAACACTGTGTTACTAGTTGAGAGACCAATACTGCCGTCCGCTAACTAAAACGCGATAAGGAAGGAGACGAAGACTGCCACCTTTACTTATTTCTGCCGCCAAGCAGTAATGCGAGCATTTGTGAAGGGTAAGGGTTAATACCCTTTTGCTAATGCAAAATTACAGGCACATGGGACTTCAGGGTGACGGGCGCAATGGCAGTGCCCCTCAGATCTTTGCGATTTAAAGCTCTGAGTGGCACTGCAACTGTTACGGACAGGCGTGTCACTTGGTATTATTAAAAGTGATCATCAGCCGAAGTGCGAATGCGTGCTGCCAAATCCGATTAGGGAATATTCGGACGATTCGAAGTCGTATTTTCCGCTGTTATTACTTGGCTTCTTCTGACCGGTTCTAGTCGATGCCGCGCCGATAACTGAGGCAACTACCTTAACATTTTCATGGATAGTATTTAGAAAGCACTGCACACACAAAAAGCAGCACTTTTCTTGTCGTCGTTATATTGATTAATATAAAATGTTCAATGAGTACGTTGTTGATACTTGTCGATGGAAAAGAAGTAGGCGGCAACTACACAGAAAGCACTTAAAATTCGCACTGTCTCTGCTTAGATATGGACTTTTGGTTTGGGGTAACCAACTGAGTGTAAAAATTGTTCACGGCTCAAAAAAAGTGGGTTCGACCAATGACCGGTGTTTGCTCAAGCACCTTTGTTTAAAGACTTGGGAATTTTGTTGTTACTGAGTATGTACATTGTCGAAGTGACATGGTTTGTTGACATCTTTAAACAAAATACAGATGTACTTAGTAGGTGTAAGCAGTGTTGGGCAAAATTTAATTGTTCTGGCAATTAAAGATTGACAATTAATTAATTGTCCATTGCGAAACAGCAATTTTTAGGGCATATGGGTGAGTGAGTGGGAGCGGTTAGGGGGTCGGTTAGGGGATCGGTTAGGGGATCGGTTAGGGGGTCGGTTAAGGGGTCGGTTAAGGGGGAATATTTTTTGTGCACGTCTAATGACAGTGTTACAATTTATTTAGTTTTAAGTAAAATTTTGCATGCCTAATCAGGTAAAATATGTGTTCTATTATACTATGTTCCATCTATCGTTCACCACGTTTTAAGAAAATAAAATTTCATTTCATAGTTGGTTTTTTTAGATTCTATTTATAGTGAAATGGGGTATTCCGTAATATCTTGTTCTAATAATAGTTTTACGATAAACGCTGTTTCTGTCCATGTGTGGTTTAAAAGACAATAGATAACTTTAAACATTTTGTAAAAACAAACCTGAACAGTAGTCTGTTGGAATAGGGCAACCAGAGGACTCATGCGAGGTATGTCAATGTGTATTTGTCGATACGTGTCGTCGTCTCTCTCTGTGACGTCATCGTAGTACTGTCGAACGAGATGCTTGTAGTCGGCGCGTTTACGTTCCAACGTCTCAGCGCGGCGCTCCAAGTTTGCGGGTAAATAGCCCGCGAGAAGACGCCACGTCACCGCTCTGGCCTGAAGGAATTATTAAAATAGCAAATGAAACTATATTTCGGATCTAAATCACTTATATTTGTTTTTTTTTAAACAAAACAAAGCGTCAGGCTCTTTACAGGTCCCATGGTAACGGCTAACTAAGTTAGTGTCTGCCTCCGTGGCCGAACGGTTACCATGCCGGACTGCCACGCAGAGGTCCCAGGTTCGATTCCCGGGCCGGGAGAAATATTTGTATGACCTACATTTATTTCTCTCGTGAGTTTGGGTGTAATTTGTGTTGTTTATGTGTGTGTCCATGGCACCCGCGACACAGGGTTTCCTTAGTGCGGGGCTATGTTGAGTGTGTGCGTTATTATTATTATTATTATTATTATTAGTGTAGTCATTAACCAGTAATGTTGGACTTCAAAAAAGGAGGAGATCTTCAATTCAACTGCATTTTTTCTTTCTTTTTTTGACTGTTTCATTTTTTATGGTTTTTTTTTGTTGAAATTGAAAGAAAGAGAGATGTTTTACCTTTAAGGGTAGCAAATTAGGGTATGAATACAGTTCAATATTAACCTTAGAGCTGAATCCAAACTCATGATGCCACGATTTCGTTTTACCAAGGTAAACTCATGGTGCCACAATTTCGTTTGACCAAGGTAAACTCATGGTGCCACGATTTCGTTTAACCAAGGTAAACGACTCTTTTATGGGGAATTGCATACGTTTTTACAAAGATTCTGGAGCATATATTAAGATTATCATTTCCTAAGTTCAAAAACACATTGAAAATATTTTGATTGAAATATCATATTACAAAATTGAAGACTACGTGTTAGATAAAATGTATGGAAAGACGACATGTCTATAGATACCACACAAGTTTTGATCCAAAGTGTATTCCATAGCATTTAAGTTTATTCGAAAAGAGCAATCCCTAAAGTGATGTTTTCAAGTGTAAATAAATTTACCTATGGAATAAATGAATCTTTGTCTTCAACTGCTTTTTGAATTTCACCAATTTTCCATTTATCGATTTGAATAAAACTGGGCACATAGATGTAATTACAATGAAAGTAATAAAAAATAAAAATTCATACCAGATTTAATATAATAGAAATTATCTAATTTACCTGCAATCTCTAATATGTATTAAATATTATCAGTGGTCTTATAAGTAGATAAGTAACATATAATCAGGAGTTTATTATTTGTATTACACGCATTCTAATAACAATGTTACCATAATTAGCTTAATGTACATAATATATAAATTTGTACCCCGCTACCCCCAATGTTGCTATTGGGCTATTCCAAAGTGACAGGTGGGACATTTTGACTCCTTTTTTCTTGAACTTTATGTAAGTGCTAATTAGACTTAAAATGAAAATATAATGAAGCCAGATGTGCAATTCAACTGCGACTATTAATTTACATAAATTTATGACATTATTTATACTCAAAACTTTTAATTTTCTAAGTGCGACAGGTGGGACACTCACGACACCCGCCTGTTTGAGTTGATGGCTTCATTGTCAAGATCAAGACAAACTATTAATATTTTGTTCAGCAAGATTTTCATATGAGATAACTGGAATGTTAAAGTTCTAATTTATATATACACTTAATTAATAACTTTGATAAATTTTAAGGAAATTAATATGTTAAGTTGTGATGGGTGGGACAAGTTACAATTGAATACACAGAATTAATAAAATTACAGTGTTTAATACGACATCCATCACTAGTAAGCAAATATTTTATAATACTTGTGTTATTAAGACATTTTAGCATAAAAAAAAAACAGAATCAAAGAACTAATAAAGTAATCCTATTATTTTTCCTGAAGCACTACCTATGACGACATGAAATCAAAGTCACGCATGTAAAATGCGTTAATAAATTTGAAAAATCCTGCCGCATCCTTGAAGATTATGTATCACATCAAAATATATCGAATTTTAAAAGTTTTGGTCGAACATATTGTTAAAACTAGTGGAGACAGACTTCATGACTTTCCTGATACTAAAAATCATCAGGAAAAAAGTTGTCACTTTTTAATTGTCTTTTTTTATGTGTTATAATGTCTTAATTATGAGAAGAATTATAAAAAATACGCTTACAAATGATGGATCTACTTACAAACAGTGTATTTTTTTAAATTCTTAGTATTCAAATGTATCAATGTTAAACTCTGAAATTAAAATAACTGTTATACCTAGTAAACATCGTAAAAACCCGAATCCATGACAATACAAACATTTATTCAAAGTAAAAACGTTCAGAAGTGTGTTCACCCATCGCTGTGACGGGTGGGACACACTTTAAAATTTTAATATTTACATTCCTATTTACGTGCACAATGACCAACCAAACCAAAATAATGACCGTTAGCATAATTGTTACTTTTACAAAAGTAAATGCCAATAGATTGCATATTTATTGGTTAAAATAAAAATATATATGTTTCATTGTGACGGGTGGGACTTGAAATTAGTATTTATTGAAACTTTAATAACTCCTCACCATATATACTTCCATGCAATCACTTATCACTATTTTAAAATTCATTAATTGTATTTTCTCCGACAGTAACAACTTTTTTAGAAAGACGCACAAATAACCGCGAAAATTGTTGTTAACATTATAAGAAAAAATGCTTCACTATAGACAACAGCACTATTTTAATGAAGACAAAGAATAGAATAATTGTACAATATTCGATCTCATTTAATTCTAATGATTTGAGTTATTGGGCTTATTCTAGTTATAGAATTAAAACCAAATTATGTAATTTATTTTTTTGAACTGCGGTGTCATTTTCGCTGGAATGACCCTATTGTTAAAACCCGAAAATACTCGTAATAAGGGTGATGATGCAAAATTCAATTGTTCATTTATTATACATCCCCTGTTGTTGTACCTAATCATTTTCATCTATTCTAAAACACCCAGATGTAGACTACACAGAGTTATCACCTTTTAGAGCAATCTATATAATTATTCTTAACTTTTGTACAAACTTTTAAATATTTAAAATCTGATGAAGCTGTTAGTATTTTGCAATTAACCCTGTATATAATAAGCAAAATGTCTTATTTGTTGACAATGACTTTCCTTATGGTTGTAGGGATTTTGGTGACAATCAATGATACTATTTGCCTGTTGTATGCTTCATTCATATTTCAATATTACTTGGTAGTTGGTGTAACCATTTCAATATTATAACTATACAATATAATACTTTCACAATTTATTGCATTTCATCTACAGTACATAAGAATTATAAGTGAATGAAAGTTAATTATTGTAACGGGAACTTGCCATGCATGAAACCAATTTTGCATGCACGCTATTGCGTAACGCTACTGGCAAGCTTGCTACTTTTAGTTGTTACAATATATTTATGGGTAGAGCTTTACAATGGTATCTCCTTTCTTATAAACTCTTTAAATGGTTTTTAAAAAATGTAAGACTAGTTTAATTCTCTGTGTTTCGAATAAATAATTTTAGAAGAAAAAATTATGAGGATTAATAACTTTCCTTGACACACAAACATATAGTTACAGAATCTGGTCAAATGTATGTCTTAATACACACTTTGCCTGAGTTCTAAGTTTTGAGGGAACCACAAGCATCAGATTCTTTAATAATTCAGTATAACAGAAATATAACAACATTAATAGCATAATTGGACATAGTTAAGCAAAAACGATCCAATCCACAAAGTTATCAAAAAATGAGTTATATGTACAAAATGGTTCCTAAAGTCTAATCTCTTAGATCAGCAAAAAATCCAACATATATCTGGAGTTACATGACATTATAAATTTTGAAAATAAAACAAAAATGAGAAACACTTTTAAACTTCAAACTGCCATATCTTGAAAGTGACTGTATGTGCATTGGATCCTTTTTGTTTAACGACATCCAAATCTAGTTCTACTCAAATGTAATGCAGTCTCAGTGTCGTATTCCAGAACTCTACTCAATGCTCAAGTCAGGATTTGAGCAGACTTGAGTATGATTTCAAGCACTGTAAATACGACCCTAATGACAAGGACTTGAGTATGATTTTCAGTGCTCACTGCAATACTCACGCCCTGACTTGAGCATTGAGTAGAGTTCTAGAATACGACCCATAGTTCCATACAGTTTACTTACTCTCTCAAGCGCACAGAGCTAACAGTTAATTGATGTCAACGAATCACTAGTACACTAATTAAACTCAACAGGCAAGAGCTTCGCACTCTAACTGCCGCCCTAACAGGTCATGGTCCATACAATAAACACCTTTTCAATTTAGGTATCACAGACAGCCCTCTATGCAGAGCGTGCATGGAGGGGGAGGAAACGGCTGCGCACATCCTACTACAGTGCTCCGGCGTGGCCAACTACAGGGCAAAGTACCTTGGAGTGCCAAGGTCGCTCCCCGAAGTCTTCAGCAAACCGAGGAGGCTGCTGAGATTCCTGGAGGAGCTTGGGTGGCACGAGTAGGACCCTGCACCCACCACACGCAAAATAGGCGCCTTGTCGTCGAGTTGCGGACACCAGCCCGTTACACCAAGTACCAAGTACCAAAATCACTAGTACACGACTAATTCTACTCCACTCACCTTTGTGGGAATACCAGACCAGCTGAGCTGCTTCAGTTCGTCGAGGTCCACGACGGCATTCTCCTGCAGCTGTTGAAACCTCTCCAGCTTCGACTCGTTGCTCTCGTCGCGATTACTAAGAGCGGAGAGCCGGACCGGCCTCGGACGCCCGGGGTAGTGCCGCAGCGGACCTGAACCCACCCCAGACCCGCCCCCGGCCTTCCTCGCCTCACTCTTCTTCACACTAACACTATCAACACCAACCTTTGTGTTCTCATTTTCTACTTTGACGTCACCTTTGTTTACGTTCTTATTACTATTCCTATGAGAATTTATTACGTTTAAAGCGGCAGTCTGCGATATGGCTTTTGATATCTTGGTGTCGGCAATACCGGAGATGATGTCGTCATCGCCGAGGTCCCAGGCGTCGTTCACCGACGCCTGGAACTGCTGATACGACGACCCAGACATAACCTCGTTTCCCCCAACTCTCTGACAAGGCCTGCCCGGGATCGCGCGCTGTCGTGTCCTCCAGAACGTGTCAGCCAGCAAACCGTCCTTGTCATATTCGAGTTGATAACTTTCCATAATCAAAATTAGCCACACACATTATAAATAACTTTGTTGAACAACAAAATAGCACAGAGAAAACGACGTTGATATGACATATCACTTGAATTCCTTGTGGTGACCATAGACAAAATTATTTGACAGCCCGTTTGCTTGACGACGACGTTTCACGACAAGAAGTTTTTCCAAATTTGTGTATGTCTTTTAGACCGGCTACATACAGTCCGAATTCCATTTCGAAATTCCGTTATGGAATATTGATGCGAGATTCCATATATACATCACACACATACGGTTATTTCCGTTCGGAATAACAAGACTCGCCTGAGAGACGTGAGTCGTGAGGCATTGAGTCCAAAATATGTTCTCGCAGCGAAAATACGTACGGAATTTACTACTGTGTGTTGCGGCCCTACAAAATTTATCGAAGACTTACATTCGGAACGGCTTTTTCAACAGCTACCATACAGGATTTCGAATCGGAAAAAATTTCGAATGGAATAGTACTGCATGTATATATGGATAATATGTATGGATAATATGTAAATAATTGTGATAAGTCCGTGATTTGTATGGTGTTGCTGCCTTCGAAATTCCGTTGCGGAATTTTCGGAGTTTTCGGAAACGGAATTCCAGCTGTATGTGGCCGCCCTTATGCTCTAAGGTATAGGTACAATCAACAGCACATCAAGCTATACACTTTTGTGCGAATGTCGCCTACAGTGCGACGGAACAAAGATTCGTCAATGTGTAGCTTGATGTGCTGCTAACAACAAACACTCATTGAAAACAGAACACAGAAACAGGAAACCCAAGAAAACTTTATCGTTTTACATTGGGCATTTCATTAAAAGTATAACTTGTAATTGTTTTGCTTCATATATTTTTTTATTTATTCGCCTTTTTTCACTTAAGAAACAATATTTGTGGGAAAATGCTGCAACATGACTCACATGTTGTTTTAAATTATTAAAATGTTGGAAATTAAATGTAAAAGTAAATACATTTTCTTTTCATTTACTTTAGTTAATAAATACAAAACTTGACGGTTATGCCAAAACGAGATTTGTATGTAACATGTAACGTAGGTTTTTTCAGTAAAAACGCCAATTCAATCTTTTTGGCTTGTCAATTTATCTTGTATTGATTGTACATCGCCATTTAATATTTGGAATAGCGTATTATTTCCTGTTTGTCATCTGTCAGCATTAGTTTACGTCATCTATTTTGTAAATATTTGAAATATGTATTTTTAGCTAATGCCACAATTTTGTTCTAAATTGTATGACGCTCGTTATAACACAATAAGTACAAATTTACTGTCTTTGTAACTCCCTACATGGGTTGGAAGCTACCTTTAGGTTGAACTGTGTAACTAACTACAAAAACTTACTTTTAGGATTTGTTTAATCGATAATTTGGTATCCACAGCTCCTCGTACCTATATTGTTCCATTCTGGTTTTTTTACATTGACATTGTAAAATGACGAGTTCGAATTCTGAGACGGATTCTTCGTCGATGTTCTTTCAAAAGGGTGATGGAATCAGAAAAACAAGAAGTCCAACACGTTCAGATGCTTCTTCGAGGCGAAATTCCAGTATTGGAACTGACACCCCAGCAGAAATCATCACAGTGAAAGACTTTTTTGACTTTATGAAGACTGCCTATCAAGTGTACGAACATTTGGAAGGCGAGGAAGATGAAAGCACCAAAATCAACTGGGAGGAGCTGACCAAATTGACTGTGATAAATCATGTCATAGAGCAAGGAGAAAGGGACTTATTGACACAGACAATGATTGCAGAACCAAAGCAAACTGTTAGCAAGAGCGATACCGCACTTGAAAAGAAAGTTGAAACTGAACGTTTGGACAAACGTTACAGCTGTTGCGAGCTTGAAGGTGAGCTTTACGAGATTAAAGTTGTTTTATTTCGTCTACATAGAAAATTGCCAATACACTGGTGCTATGAAACGTTTTTTGTGTGACTTGTAGTGTGCAATACAAATGATATTGTTAACATTTGATCTTGATTTTCGTTACGTTCAGGGAAAAATAGAACAAAATCCTTACCGCCCGAAGCTAGAGTAGAGATGCTTGGTATTTGGACTGAAGCTAATTTAAACTGTAAACTTAACGATGTGAGTATTACAATTAAATGAAGCTATTCAACACTTGGCAATATTAGTAGACAGATGGCGCTATTCATAATTCCATTTGCAGGCGATAAATGAAGGAGTTTTGGATTCTATACTTCCGTACATAGGCTACAAAAAGCCTTCAAAAACCACGAGTGCTTACACTCCAATTATTAAAAAATCTTCAACAAATGCAGCAGATAATATTAAAAAACTTGCTAGTTTTGGAGGTAAGCTGAACTGCACCTAATGAATGGTTAAAGCGGGTAATAAAATGTTTATTGGCGATACTTCTTGTATTTTTTAGGTTTTGTCCACGAAAAAGAATCAAAAGATCGCCTTGGGAGGCGAAAGTCTTCAGTAATTGCTGCACAGGAACAACGGGCGCTTATGCAATCTCTGAAACAAGAGTAAGTTTGCTTACAGTGTAACTAGGTGGCGCTTAAATTTATTTTTGTGTCTAATTGAATTGATTCAACGTTCTATTGTGAAAATATGACGTCAATGGTGAAAATATATTTTGAATATATAATGCAGAGACGAGAATATATTTACGTAAGATTATCTTATTAGAAAAATAAGAAAATTGAATGTTATATAAAAGTTATCGAAAAATACGATTAATTTTTTCACAAGCTAGTGTATCATCCGATATGGTCTAGTGGCTAGGATACCTGGCTCTCACCCAGGAGGCTCGGGTTCGATTCCCGGTATCGGAAAGACTTTTTTATTTTGTTTTATTTATTATTTATTCTTGTTTTTAGGGGCGAAGTAGAAATACATGTTTGTGACGAAATGAAAGGTCTAAAGAAGGATTTCAAATGTCCTCAAAAATTGCTTGTCTCCAAAATGGGGTACTTTGCTGATGTTACGGCCGGTCAAAGGCTCGAAGATATGGACATTTCTGTGCATTGCGACATACAAGTGAGTTTTAAATTTTGTTGTAACTCAGTATGCATTGTGAAATAAGAAATATCGAATGTCAAAATAATATTTGGCAAGAGATGAGTTTCAAATTGAAACTATTGCCAGGTGACAAAATCCTTATTTTGAATTTGTTCACTGTACAGAATATTACTGGCAGGCTTACATGAAAAATACCTAAACGTATATATTGAGTGAAACAATGTTGTATAAATTGTGTAAAAGGAGTAGGTATGTGATTCTTTTATTAATAAATAAAGAGACGAAGCAAAATCCGGCAAGAAAATATTTGCTACAATTTAATTTACAGGCGTTATCTTCTGCAATTCACAAATATGTTTAATTATCCCTAAGTTATCATTTGAATTAACTGCTCAGGTAGGTGATTATTGACAGATCTTTGACTGGTTGATGCGGTGGGTAAAGCGTGACACGATCTTGGTGGCAGACTGGCCTCTACTCGACCCTCACAATGTGGTGCCCATTCTTGTGTCAGCCTCCTTCCTACAGGTACGCTCCCACTGCAAACGCGTTACTTACACGATTTGAGATATTACAGTTATAAATTTACAGACTTATTTTTGTAGATGGAACCGTTGCTACACGATTGTTTGATATACTGCCATGCGCACATGAGCGAGATTGTGAAGACGTCTACCAACTTGGCTTGTCTGAGTGACGCTTTACTGACGAGGTAATATGTTTAATACTTGAATAATTTGAGGATAGAACGTCGACTGTGACGAAGGACCTAGGGACCGTGTAGCTTGTATAGATATATTCGTATTGCCAAGTCTCAATTAATCGTTCTTTGTAAATGTGTTCTATTATCATTAGGTTGGCAGCAATGTACACAAACGCGGAGCTGGAGGCGATTAAAGATCGTAAGGATAAGATCCAGTCGCGCCTTTACTGCAAGATGATCCTCTCACTGGCCGAGCCCGTGCCGGAAACCCTGCGAGGGCACTATGCTACCCTCGCCACGCTCTTCAAGTGCAATAAGTAAAACTATAATCTGGCACATTATACATATACAGAATGTTTTTTTTAAATAAAATAGTGTAGGGAAATCCGAAACCATAGAAGATACATGGAAACTGTGTGAAGAACCATTAAGTCTTTTTTGGCTTACTTTTGACATAGTAGTTTTTTTTTCAAGCGTAAGTTGTCCATAAATATGAACATAATTGATCAAATTTTTTTTGTGCTAAGCTAATAAAATAAATGTCTGGGGGGGTTTGTGGTATCGTCGTTGCTTCCGATTTCCATAACACAAGTGCTTCAGTTACTTACTTTAGGATCGGAGTAACGTATGTAATGTTGTCTAATATTTATAATAGAACACCCAAATCTGACCCAATTTAGTAAAGTTATATTCTTTTTTGCTAGCTGTGCCTTACAGCATCGAAAGTGTACTCTGTCTTACAAGAAAAAGGACAATACGCCAGGTGGACTCCAGATGGTTATTTTACCTCTGGTATCACGTCATCCACCCATGCGGTATAATGCCATCCAAAATTATATTTAACTTTATTTAATAAATAATAATTTCCAAATAATAATTAAGAAATAAAAAAAAAACAAATAATGCTATATATTTCTATTTTCTGCCGTCCACTAACTAAAACGCGGCTACGTGTCAAATGTTCAAATATTCGTTTTAAATAGCATAAGATAAAGCTCAAAATGCTCTTTTAAAAACACTTAAAATTAGGTAACGAGTTCGATTTATCAGAACTTACCCTAACGATGCAATAGCTGAAATAGCATTAAACAATTTCAATATCCTAAGGGTCGTATTCCAGAACTCTACTCAATACTCAAGTCAGGACTTGAGTATTGCAGTGAGCACTGAAAATTATACTCAAGTCCCTGCCATTAGGGTCGTATTTCCAGTGCTTGTGTTTCCAGTGCAATCCTGACTGAGCATTGAGTAGAGTTCTAAAATACGACCCTAAAACTGGGTATGGGGCATTTTAGTTAGTGGACGGCAGTTTTCTGATTTCAATCAATCTCAATTAAGATTACGCTTTCTTTAATTTGCAATTGTACAAATATGAACTTATGTAAACATTAGAAAAAGCAACGAAAAATAATATTGTAAAGAGTAAATGTTTCTCTCTCTCTATAATTTGCAGTGCCCCACACGGTCCATAATGCGCTGCTAACTAGCTATACGCCTTTTCCGTCTATGTAACATTATGGTAAATGCAATAAAGATTTGAATGAATTGAAGCGTACACTTGGGGAGGCTTATGTCCAGCAGTGGACTGCAATAGGCTGATTGAACGTCCTTTCAGGTGTAACAAGCTGCTTGGTCGTCAGATTGCTGAGAATGTTCCTTGTCAGCCTTCCAGCATGCGCATTGATCGTCGCGGAAACGTGATCTCGCATCACACCAAGTATGTACAATTTGGAGTTTGGGTCGTTCTTATCACATGCTTCACAGAGTTGTATTTATAATCTTAAGTATCAAGCTTGACGAGGTCAAGAGTTCGAAATGTTCCTACACAGGATGTTATTAGCATTCCTAAAACTGTATTATATTTGCTAGCCAACACTAAGATTACATAGCTTACGTATCTAATGGGGATTTTGGTATAACTTTTCAGAAAGTATTTATATAATTATTAATACAAAGATCGAACACTCAGAAAAAATTCCTTCGATACGGTCGGATTCGAACCGACGTCTTCTTGCCTTGGATTTAATACAGTGAATAGCGACATCTCTCGCCAGGACTGGTAGCTGTAAAGGTAATAACTGGGTGATAAATCTGTATAGATTTCTCATAGATGGCGCTACGACTAAAAAGTCGTTGAAAGACCAAGTACAAAGACACGACGCAAGCACATAGAAGAATTCGTGAGGTCCGTTGGTTCGTTCCGTGGCTTAGTTGGTATAGCGTCTGGCACGGTATGCAAGAAAACGTCGGTTCGAATCCAACCGCATCGAAGGAATTTTTTCTAAGTGTTTTTTCTGAGTGTTCGATCTTTGTATTAATAATTATAACAAACTAGTGGAGTAATTTCACAAAAATAATTGAATATCAATGCAATAAAAATTTAATTAAAGTATTTATAATTAAGTAGTCCATAAAAATATTGGTATGGTATGGTGCATCGAGTATATAACCAGAAATAGAGACGAAATAAGAGCCATCCATCCCTGGCAACTCATCAAGCAAAAGGGTTTTATATAACTTTTAAATATCCACTCTCGTTTGCGCTGAAATCACAAATCAGAAAGTTGAAATATTACAGCGCCAACAACTGACCTGTGTGTACGTCTCCGTATATTCCAAAAACATTCTGTATTTATTGTAATAAAGATAATATCTCTAATTATGGGGGGCTGTTCCATTCAGTGGTGTGGGAAAAATAGCATAACATCTAATTACGAAACAAACGGAATCACATTTCATCGGTAACTAAATATTAAATATTATGTTATTTTTCAATTTTCGTCCATTATAGCAAAGCTCAAGTTAAACAGGTCGTTTTGAAGTGAAACAATTGGCGACACCTGCCAATTGTTTCGAATTACTAGCCGCATCCGTGGCCGAACGGTTATCACACAGACATATGTCTGTGGGTTACCATGTCGGACTGCCACGCAGCCAATTGGAGCGCAGTTGTCACCGTAATGATTTGGCAGAATAATTTTCAAACAAATTAAATGACACTTCGTCTCTATTTATGGTTATATACTCGACGGAATGGTGTAACAGGTTGTTGTCTGCAACTCGACGTCTAGGCTCCTGTTCTGCGTGTTAATATTAAAAATATTATTTCATTTAAATAAAGCGTTTCTAGACCCTAAAACTATGTTTGAACGGGGATTGAATAAAAAATGTCGCCTTAAGTCAGAACGCGTGACGTTATTGGCCGGTAAACAAACTGGACATTGTGCACTTGCCGCAGCGAGAGCTTTATTGTTAACATATTGATGTTTACAGTTATTGGTTAAAACGTCATTCAACGAAGAAAGTAGATAAGATAATCAACATGAATGATGAATACGTCATGTGACGTCTTGCATTGGTGAAATTACAGGCACGTAGGACTTGTCAACTTATGTAGGAGGGTGACGAGCGCAGTGGCAGTGCTTAAGGCACTGCCACTTCGATTTAAAACTCTGAGTGGCACTGCAACTGTTGGACAGGCGTGTGCTTACCATGAGGCGCACGGCTTGTTCTTCCTGTCACATAATATTACATAAAAAAGTGTTATGTAAATTAATAACGGAATAAAAATAATTGCAGTTCATTGACTTACAAATAAATGGACGACGGGTCTAATACACAAACCACGAAAAAAATGTCCCAAGTGAACCTATTTAAACGTAGTGACATGTATCACACTGACATGACATGTCATCGCAGTACTGTCTACTTTTGCTTGCTTCGCTGTCAGTCGAACAAACGAAGACTAAAGCGTGAATGACGCTCTGTATACGATTTTAACGCCCTATAAGTTCGGACACTTTTTAGCGCGGACCCGACGTCCATATAATTGTAAGTCAATGTTGCAATTTTAAAATTTTATCATTGATTAAAAAACCACTATTATTTGACAAAAATATTTCAGTTATATATTTTTGATCGTTAACATTCTTTCTGTCCTATTGCCTATAGTTGTTTGTAAATGTAAACCCTTGGTTTGTTGGTATATTGAGCGTAATAAAGAATAACTACGTCGTGTCTTACCTATGTAAAAATTGTTTAATAAAATTGAAATTAGGGATACAACATGGCGATTGAACGAGTACGTAACATGGTTGTATGGCGAGCTGCGGTCGTGGCGGCGCGTGTATTGGCGACTTTGGGCCGACAGCCACTTCCTTCGGTGCCAGCTTTGTGATAGCTACTTTCCTGCATACCAAGTAAGTTTGTTCTCGTTTCCTAGTCCCATTATGTTCAACCATAGACGTTTCCCTGCCAAACAAGGCACTCCTTGAAGGGCTCGTGCACATGTCTAAAACTAATCACTTGCTGGGCTAATTCCGACCGATTGGGGACTGGGGAACTCACATATTGAACAAGAATCACAAAAGTATTTCTTATTGTTTAGTGGGGAGTAAGTTTCTACTCAGTAAGTACGGTCGCAGGCAGAGCTACCCTGATCCCACCCTTCAGTCATGAAGCCGTACAGTCATTCCACAGTACAGATCCACATAGTCATTTTTGATCATCCACACAGCCTGTTTTGGATAGCCCAAACGTGCAATTCTTCTTGGTATTAAAGCAATTATAATTATCGAGTTCTTAGGTTTTCGCGATTGTTACACATAGGAAATGAAACTATTTTTCCCGGTTTAAATCGCGTATATTTGTCACGGTTGTCCAAGGGACCTGTAAAGGGCCCGATACGTCGGTTTGTTTGAAAAAACAAATATACGCGATTTAAATCCGGAAAAATAGTTTCATTTCCAATTATAATTACTTACTTTCCAGGAACAGCTTCTTTTAGCTATATTTGTTAAGGCCAGTCAAAGTTGATGAGTATGTCTACCTCGAACAAATCCAATTAGTCAGAGCCAACTTCGAGAAAGAGGTCAGTCGTCGAATCAGACTCAGTTGGGCAGCTTTCGGGAAGGTTCGGAACGTGTCCTCGTCCGCAATACCGCAGTCTACCCTTACAGTAACCTACGGCTCTGAGACGTGGTCATTTACTATGGGCCTCATAAAAATTCTAAAAGTCACTCAACGAGCTATGGAGCGAGCAACCCTCGGCATTTCTCTACGTGATCGAATCAGAAATGAGGAGAACCGTAGAAGAACGAATGTCACCGATATGGGTCAAAGGATTAGCAGGTTGAAGTGGCAGTGGGCAGGGCACATAGCTCGTAGAACTGACGGCCGTAGGACAGAATCTCGAATGGCGACCAGGAACCTGAAGGCGTTCAGTGGGACGGCCCCCTACTAGATGGACGGATGACCGCTGGTAAGGGCGGCGAGTAACCGATGGATGCACGTCGCGTACTACCGGCAAGTCTGGAAATCTCGGGGGAGGCCTATGTTCAGCTGTGGACGTCTTCCAGCTGATATGATGATGATGGTTACCTATCACAAGCTAGAAACATGATTCACAGAATTTTGTTTCTCCGAAAACCTTTACATTTTTATTGAATAGATTTTGTTTCATTTGTCCGAAAACACGTTACGGATTTTTTCATTACACCATTCCATGTTTCACTATTTTGACATATAAACAAGGTATTCGTAT